TATCATTCTTGTAGAAGCGCGAAATGGTCGTGCGAGTGTTAATTACAGTTACTATAAGTGGTAGTGTGATAGACGCGCCTAAAAAGGAAGTTGGCAATTAACCCCCCCTTTTAGAGTAATGTCGCCGCAAGAGGATTGTTCTGGTAGTTACTAAAAGGGATAGTGACTTGAACAATCAACAAAGGGTGACAAAGGAAAGAAGAAGGTTAATTATAGGTTTAAGATCGGCTAAGTCAAATTCACGCCTCGAGTAGAGAAAAGGAGAACAACCTAATCCTGACGTTACATGAGTTTAACCTGTCCCAAGCGACAGACTCGCCATTTCATCATCAACAATATATATATATTTGAATAAAAGTAATATCAAAAACACTTACTTTTTTTTACAATCTTATATAAAAACCATGATATAATACAGCAAACACTTTACTCTCTACAAGAATAATCTGGAATCAGGATTTCTACTGATCTTGCAAGAACTCTCCAACCAAGTCTTATAGTTACTCTTGTCAATTCTCAAATTTCAACTCAAACCAAAAGATATAACCATAAATCTCTTATCTATTATTACAGATAAATTTATAAATAGCAACTTTAATTTATTATTATATTTAAAAAATTTAATCTTTAATTTTAATCAACTTATTATTAATAACTTTAAGTAGATATTCATAGTTAATTAACATCTTTTATGATATATAGTAGTTTTAATATTTATTTTTCTTTATTGTATAATAGGTTAATATAAGCAAGTTAGCATTAAACTTATTAACTCAATATGTTATATAAGAAATATTACCTTCATTATATAGAAAATCTGAATTTTTTACAATTAATAAAGCAACAATGTTTATCTACAAAAAAAAAAAATAAATATAAATATTTTAATAATATATAATTTAAATTATAATAATTTTTATATTAAAATTTAATAAAAACAAATTAATTTAAAAAATAATTTCAAATTTTAAAAATAAAATTTTTAATATTTATTGTATTTTTATAATAAATGCTTAACAATAAAAATTATAAATTTTTCAATAATTTTATTAAAATCAAAAATATTTAAAGACTTTTTCCATTATCAATTTCACGTGATATGATACTTAATATTTATTTTATCAGCTGATCCGGATTCTAAGTCCGGAAAAAATAATGGCACCTTTAAAAAAATTTTTAAGATCCACTTTTTTTATCATGATAACTTCCTCCTTGCAAATTTGTAAAAGAAAGACAATATGGGTTAGTAATTTTTTTACAAATTACTGTCAAATATTTCACCTTTATTTATTTATGGATAATTCCACAATTGAGTTTTTCCGATGCAAAATACAAAAAACAATCCCTATAATTTTATCAACATAAAGACAACGTATGCTCAGCGACTTGTGTTTTTACATAATTTCGCTCCAAAATTATAATTATTCTTATACGGAGATCTGAAGATTCGATATTCTAAAATGAATGAAATGTTGCGAATTATATAAAATTTGAATAGGTATTAGTCGAGACTCCCGTCACAAGCGTTCGCATACAGGTGCCAAGCGAGCTCAATATCGTAAAAAAAGAAAATTTGAGCTGGGCAGACAATCTGGTAATACTAAACTTGGACCTAAGCGTATTCATGAAGTCCGCGTTCGTGGCGGGAACCTAAAGTTCCGTGCCATTCGTCTTGACCAGGGTAATTTTTCTTGGGGATCAGAAGCTATTACCAGAAAATCAAGAATCATCGCCGTTGTTTACAACGCCTCGAATAATGAGTTGGTTCGAACGAACACCCTGGTGAAAGGCGCGGTTATTCAAATTGATGCCACCCCCTTTAGGCAATGGTTTGAAGCGCATTATGTTCAGCCTCTTGGTCGTAAGAAGGTGAAAAAAGAAGGCACAGTATGTATTCTTTTCATTCAAATAATGATAAAATTTGAAACAATTGACAATAGTTAGAAAATCATATTTAATAATTGACTGCAATAATTTGCAAAATCATGATTTAATTTCATGTTATCAATTTTTATTTAATAATAGGCTGAATCAGAGGAACTAAGCAAAAAACGATCAAACCATCTTCAAAGGAAAATTGATGCACGTAAAGAAGCAGCAAAAGTTGATCCTTTATTAGATGATCAGTTTACTACTGGTCGTTTGTTTGGTAGGTAACTTCATAATTACGTAATATACCTAAATATGATCTGACTCTTGATTTTTTTTTACCACCCACTAGCTATCTTGTCTTCTCGTCCTGGACAAAGCGGTCGTGCTGATGGATATATTCTTGAAGGAAAGGAACTCGAATTTTATTTGAAAAAAATTAAATCGAAGAAATAATAGTAATTTATCTCATTCGAAATGAGAAAGGTTTCTTTAGACAAATTTTGCATCAATAAAGAAGTATGGTAGCAATATTACTGTACAGATTTATTGCGTTATGCCAAGATGTAATTTCGTCTTTATCACGCATTTACTAAAACGTGATTTCGTCTTTACCACGCATTTACTTAGTCGATTTTGATTTCAATAATTTATTCCTATGAGAATTTTACCATAACTCGCCTTAAAGATAAATTTAAAATGTATCGATAATGCTTAAATAATAAAGAGGATTGAAAGGGACCAGCAATAACATTTTTAGTTAATACTATTATCTGCTTAATTAAAGTTCTTAATGATTTTGAATTCTTTTTTCCAATATATTTAATACTTATTATTGTATAAATCTTATTATTTATGTTCGTTAAATTATTAAATTTAGAATTAGATTTTAAAAATAATTTCAAAAATTGAATTTATAAATTTATATACTGTAGATTCATTTACTGTATATAATATCATATAGAATTTACTATAAAATTTGAAATTGATTGAAATTAAATTAAAATATTATAAAATATTAAAGTATTTTAAAAATAATTGTAATATAATAAGTAATTAATAGATTTTATTAACTAATTTAAATAAAAATCAATTAAAAATTATTTAACTTTTAAATATTATACAATATAATATAAATAAAAAATTAAATTAAAAAGTATATGAAATTAAAATTTTAATATCTTGATTAAAATCTTACAAAAATCTAAAAAATCTTTAATTAGAGAAGTTTTAATTTAAATTTAATAAAAATTTTTATCTAGACTTAATAATAAACTTTTATAAAAAAAATACTTAAAACAACTAATTTAAAATTTAATTTTTTCAAAATTTATAACTTTAATATTCAATTATAAGATAATTTAAACTTTATATAACAAATAATTAATAAATATTTTATAAATATTTTATAAAATAAAAATTTCAATATTAAAAACTTTTACAATTAAAATAAAACTTATAATTTTAAATTAATCAAGATATATATAATAAACTAGAATTCAAAATCTATATTAAAATAGTATTAAAATAATAATAACTTATAATGAATTTAATATATATATATATTAAACCACTTTTAAAGCTTACTTTATTAAATTTATTAGATAATATATATACTTTTAGATTATAAAATAATTTTTTTATTTTATTCTTCTAATATATTATTAAATTTATTTAAATTTTATATTCTTTGAATAGACTATACCTAATATATGAACCTATATTTTAGGTATAAGTTGATACAATCAGGTTAGAAATAAAGATGATGCTAAGATTAAAGTAACTAAAATAGTTAATCAGATTTTTTATATAATAATTGTAACTTTAATGTTAAATTAATAAAAATTTATATGTAATACACTTTGTTTTTAAAAAAAATCTATTTAAATTTTATAATAAAATAATTTATTTTATTTTTTAAAAATTTGTCTTATATAACTTATTGTTTCTTAATCAAGAGATTAATATATCTAAGTAAGAATAGCCCCTAAATTATTTAGTATATAAAATTTTACAAATCAATTATGTCTCTTTTGAAGAGACATAATTAATTATTTATTATTTTAATAGGAACATAATCCTAAAAACATTTGAATTAAATAACTTAAATTATAAAAAACTTTTTTAATACTAAAAAACATTTGAATTATATAATTTTTATACTTAAGTATTATTAGTAGATTAGATTTTATTTTAAGTTTTTTATATAATATAAAAGAAAAAAAATGAAAATAGTAAATAATATTATTTTTAGTAAATAAAATTATATTTTAACTTATTAGATTTTTTAAAAATTTTTTTTATTAACACTTGCAATTAAGTATTATTATTTAATTTTAATTTTATTATAAAAGGACATTAGATGCAAAATTTTATTAAGTATATAAATTAATATACAAATTACATCAAATATCTTTATATAATATATATAAATTAATATTAACCTATCTACAATATTAACTATTACTATCCTAATTACACTTGATATAACTCAAATTGGCTTTAGTACTGGATGGTTAATACCTTTTCAAAGCAAATAATAAGTTAAATAATTTAAGTATGTTATTTGATTTAATATGTTGTAAATCTGATAATAAAATAATTTACTAAAAAAAATCTGATTCTTGAAAGAAGCTTGTTGTATTTTTAGCTTTTTTATCTTATGATCTGCTTTGAATTCTGAACTATTTGATACTTGCTGCTATTAATATATTTACTGTTACTAACTTAGGTATCCATATCAACATGTAAAGAAGTTTTAGGATGCTGTTTATAAACTTGGCTAGTTTCTTGTTTGAAAGTTAGAAATTAGAAATTGTTATATTGCATACTAACTTTTCTGGTTGTGATTTCTTATTGAAGTTGAGATTCATATAATATAAGAGTATTTGCATTAACTTTATTTGAGAGCTTTATGAATTTGAAATTTATTTTGATTTCGATTTTTTCATATGCTTCAATATTATTATTTAATTTTTATTATTTCAATAAAAATTAAAAATATTTATAAAACTTATAGCTATTAATCAAAATATAATTGGTTTTCTATTTAAGATACTAATTACTTAAGGTTTTATATTTACTATTATAAATTAATTAATATTTTTACTAGATTGAAATAAAATTATTCTTGTAAATTAAGTTTGAAAAAATATTAGATATCATAAAAAAGATATTATTAAATTATTTTGCTTTTAATCAAACATTTTTAATATTTTTTTATAGCTATTTTTATAATAATTATTATATATCAATCAAATGATTATTAATTATACTACTATATTTTTATAAAATCATAATCTCAATTATATATACAATATAATAGAATTGAATTCAAATATTTTTCAAAAATTGTATTATTATTAAAAATATAATAAATTAATAATATTACTATATATATAATTTCAATATTTATTAAAGTTTCAAACCAAGTATTAAAATGATACCAACTTGATATCAACCTATAATAAATTTAATATATGAGTTATAACTTATTATTATTATTTTTTTTAGCCTCTAATCAGACTGCAAATGAAAGCATTTATTAATCCAATTTTTGGACAACAGTAATACAATATAAATTTTTTTTTTTCCATAGATAAATATCAATTCTTTATTTATTTATATATTATAAGATATATATTCATAAAAAATCAATATCTTTTAAGTATAAAATATACAACAAGTTAAATACTAGCCTATTTACTAAAACTATAAATAGTTAATACTAAAAAGAAATTTTAAAATAATATTGTTGCTAAATATAGGCCAAGTAGTAGTTTTATTTAGAAAAAAAATATTTAAAACATAAGAAAAATTTGAAAGAAAAAAAAATTCAAAAAAAATAAAAGTAACTAAAACTAGAATGAAATCAAATAAATTATAAAATTTATAAGAAAAAAAATTATATTTTCAAGAGAATCTCTGGCCAGGCTTATTGTTTTGTTTCAAATTAATTAATTTATTTAATATTAATAATAAAATAAAATAAAATATTATTTTTGATTATTTTAATTATTTTTATAATTTTATTATTATTAAATTATTTTAGTAATAATTAATTAACATATTATTTCCAATTTTTAAACTTAAATAAATTATTTTATGCTTATTACAGACTTCAAATAAAGAATAAAAATTTATTTTTAACAGTCAGTTAATTTTTTATAATAAATAGTATTATATGTAACAAAAACAAAACAAAGATTATCAATAATATTAGAATCAAATATAATATTCAAGATATAATTAAATTTGGCAATTATTAAATTCAAGTTCTTATATTAATAAAATTTTTGTTAAATTAAAAATTATTAATATTTATATATTATAATTTATTATAATATTTTATAGTATATGCATTTTGAAGATTTCCATTTACAGTATACTGTACTAATATATTAAACAAAACGGAATCACATGATTTTTATTAGTACCCCTGTATTTTGACGACAGTTGCGACACATAGCTCACATAATTGCAACATTGTAAAAACCACCTTTAATTAAATCTTGCAGTTACTCCGATCTCTTTTACCAGAAATAAAAATGACAAGCTCAACAGAAGATATTAAAACAGTACCTCCATCGCCACCAACAACACAATTTAGGTTCAAAGTAAACAAAACTTATCACAACAGAATGCATATTCCTCGAAGAAAGGCAATTAACAGCTTTTTTGAGTTTGTACGTTCTACCTTATAAAGTCATACGTTAATACTACTCAGATAAAACGTAACAATCAATCTGATTTCCTTTACATTTGGTTTCCTTGATTCAATTTGTCTACGTGGCCTCTCTTTACTCAGCAAAAAAAATGCCTCGAATTACATGCAGAATATTATCAAGGCATCTCGAATCTTCTAAGAGAGACAGATGTTTCGTCATTTTTAGTGTCTCCTTCTCCAGGAGTCGATCCTCTTCATATTATCAATGAGACTGGAATGGTAATCAGTGGTATGCTAGCTCCAGGAATGAGTGGATATTATAGTAATAAAAAATTAAAAAGGCATGCGGGTGATGATATTGAAGCAAGTGGAGAAGAGGCTTATAGTTCGGAAAATCAAAAAGCGCAAAAAAATAGACGAGCGCCAAGACAACTTTGGAAAGATGAAGAAGTTGAAAGGTTGAAAGCTGCTCATGACAAATATAATGGTGATTGGGAGTTAATTATTAAGGAGTTCGAACCTGAAAGAACCAGGTATGATGGACGATAGATTATGTAGAGTGAGATGGTAAAAACCTAGAATAATTATTCATTTATGATATTATTATAGAATTCAAATCTTTCAAAAGGCTCGCCAAATGGGACTTCGGGCGGTTGAATCTGGGAAAATAATTGATTTATCGAAGCCAAATTCTATAATTGAATATAACAATACGCAGTTAATTGGAAGCGAAGGAATTGATGAAGAAGGAGTTGAATATGAACAAGAAAATGCCGAAGCCGATCCTTGGCAAGATGAAGAAGACGTCAATGATGTTTGATTGGATATCTGGCATTTGACCATTCAAATTTCTTATATTTATTGCCAAAAGCAATTTTCATTATTTTTTCCCATTTCTGATTTCTTCATGATGTGTAAATAGATCCCACCTTCAAAAATGATTTTTATTTCCTCGACAGAAGCTCCGCCGATATATTTATGGTGAAAGCTTTGAGACACCTAACATTTACTTAAGTGTCTTTGAATTTTTCTTTCCATTTTTGGCTATCTTCTGGAATTCAAGTCAAAATTCCTAAGACTCCTTGAAGTTGTGGACAAATAAAATTATCATATGAAGTCCATATAAATTTACGTGGAAAGTTAAGTGAAATAAGTACAATATATTTGATATAAATTCAAATCGCACATAAGTAATTTCTCACAATTACCAAACATATTTTTTTAATGCATAAATTTTCTTTGTTTTGCGAAATATTGTACAGTTAAAGGTATAATATTAAATTTTATATAATTCTGTTGATATCACATGAACTTGATATTCTTTACAGACGTTATAATATAAAAGAATAAATAATAAACGTTTTATTTTTATGAAAAAGATGATAATTGCAAATATATTTAAACTATTGAACCACAATATATATGTAGGAAGCAATAATTTAGACAAATTTTTAAAATTTTGAATAATTAAAAAGTTTTTGAATAAAAACTTTTACATTTTGTTATTAATTCACATACAGTGGCGGTCAAAAGTTTTGCATCACAGATCAATTTTTATATTAAAACATAGTAAAAATTGAAATTTGTATACTATGTTTTAATATAAAAATTGATCTGTGATGCAAAACTTTTGACCGCCACTGTATAAACAATAATTTACAATATATTATAAAATAATAAAATTTTTAAAATTTTTATATTAAAAAATTATTTTCAAAAATCGTTTATATATTAATTTATAAAATTAATTTTATTAAACATATAGTAAAAATTTTAAAATTTTTTAAATACATATAAATAATATTTAAAATTATTTTTTAAAACTATAATTAATTAATATATATATATATAATCACTTAAAATATTATTTTTATATAGTTTTAATTAAATAAATTTTTTTTAATAAATAAGTTTTAATTTCTTAATTAATTTTTTGATTTGAAATTGATAATTAAATTATTATTATTATTATTATTATTATTTAATTAGTCAAAGGAATTAGATGCGAGGTTTTTATTAATATTAAATTATTATTATTATTATTATTATTATTTTTTTTTTTTCGGGTGAAAAATGTTTTGTGCATATGCATTTTATTGAGTAATTTATATCCAATTACAAATACACTAAGGTCCATTTAAGTTAACCTTGCTTTTACACCTATAGACTTACCCAGTATACCAATTGAACACCTTGAAGGTGGATCTGCACCCTGGATGGAATCTTTAGAGGATAGAAAATCCTACCACTAGTTTATAAACTATCTAACCTAATCTAGATCCTGTCTCGACTGCATCCGTCATGGGA